GGTTTTTTCAGGTTTAACGTCATATCTTTTTTATTAAAAGATCCTTTGTATATCATGATGAATTCAAAGTCTTTTAAAGCTCTTTATCACAAGGTGAAGAACAAATTATAGTAAAGAAAAAAAAAAAACCAATATCATCTACAAACTAGATATTTACAAGGAACTGAACTTGGAAGAAGCATCAATTTAAGGATATCATAAACAATATTATACATCAAAACTGAAAGAGATGAATATGTCTTATTGAATCATATAGAAGGTGAATCCAGGTATTTCAAGATTTAATTGTTAAGCATATGGAGTGAATCCAAAATTATGAAAGGATTACGAAGATGTTGTCAACTTATTTAAGTTAAGATGTTTATCCATTATATTAAGGGGGTTTATGATTTCATATGTACTTTCTCGAAGGATCTCTACAACATAGATGGTTCACTTCAGGTATTTGTATTGATTGTGATTAACTCTGGGCCAAGATATACAGTATAATTTCTGGAACAGAAATTAATTGGATCATTTAAATTTTCTGTTTGGATACCTACAATCATTATTGAACAACTAGTGTTAATACACCCCAAAAAAGAGTTAATGATTTCATCAACATATTCTGCTAGTTCCCCCTTGTTTTTCAAATAACTCGTATCTCCAATTGATATGTCCAATTTATGATATTTATCGTCCCATATTGGAAATCTTGAAACTAATTCAGCAAATGTTCCTGATGGTGCAACTCTGGGTCTGGGTTCGGGTGGATTGAGCATAGAGAAAATACCAAGATCTTCGATATTATTTTCATTCATCTTCTTCACTTTGTTGTTTCTTGAGCCATTTATGAAACACTCAAGTATCTTATTAAAAAGATCCAAATCTGATGTATAGTTTTGCTTTGCAAATACAAGCTGGGGCCCAAGGCCAGGCCCAAATAAGTCCTCGACCTCAAAGTAGTGCTGTTTTTCAGTAGAATTATGGCACTTTTTCCCTTGATATTCCTCTTGCTTTCTCCTGTCCTTAACATGATCAAACTCGTTTATGTGAACCAATGCAGATTTTGCCATCGCTAACTCGGTCTGCAAAACTTGAATCTCTTTGTCTTTATGATTATGTTTTACCAAGGTATCAATTCTCTCTTTAACTTCTTTACTGTCTTTAGGATTAATCCAATCACAAGGTGCAGAGTCGAATACATCTAAGGAGATATTTTTAAGATATTTCTTCATGATGCTATTCTTGGTATTCAATGTTCTTACCAATTTGAGTAATGATTTGTGATTCAAGACAATTGAAATGGAAGATTGATCTATACGATCTGAGGTTTTCGTATTAATCAAAGTTTCCATCCTTCCTTTTGAAGATGGATAGAGATCCAAGACTTCGAACTCGTGATCCTTCACTTTATTCAATCTTGCATACTTGTTGTAATCGCTGTATCCATAATCGACCAAACTTGGACCACTGTGAACGAAATCATGATCCTTGATTCTCAACATCGATGTATCTCTAATAGATAAGAAACAATGGATATTAGTATATAATATTGGTGCTATAAGGTCAATCCACATAGAGTTATAGATCATATTAACTGCTTTTTTCTTGCCAATATTTGATTGTTCAATGATCTTTAACCAGATTTCTATCGGGAAAGGTCCTAACATTGATGGTTTATCACCAAGACTGAAAAGGTCAAACTTTGTTTTAGGTGGTATGAGTTTTTTCAACGCAAAAGAAGCATCATTAAGCTTTTGTTGTAAATAACCATCAATCTTTTCATAGATGTTATCTTTGATAAGCCTTAAAGGGTAAATAAAGTTCATTCTAGATTTCCAATAAATGTGTCTAATCTTAACCCGTATACCTCCAATAAGCTGTGCTATCATTAGATTTGAGCGATTGGTGAAAAACTTAACTGAATATCTTTCATACGGTAATAATCCAAACCACCAACTTGGTTTTGGAACAACTTTATCGAGGGAATATTTAATGCTAAAACCTTCTATATTTGCATTCTCGCCAATGATCTGTCGAGCTATTATGAGACCAGAACGGCTAGGTGGCCGATGGTTAGACTTTAAACCAGGACAATTTGATAACGATCTTAAAACTGCTCCATTTCTTAAAGTGTCAATATTTGAGTGTAATAAACTTGGTGGATAATCACCCTGGTTGAACATCTTATGTTTACCTCCAGCATAACTGTTTGGTATTTCAATACAGAACCATGGATCAAAGAGAAAACGAGTTTTTTCATCGTCGATATTAATCTCTGTTTGGTTTTCAAAATTCATTCTTATGATGTTATATGTGAATATTTAATTGACAAATTAGAGTTTTAGATACTTTATGAATTCAGTACCTACTATATAAGTTACTGCAAAGCTAGACTTATATATTAATTGCCCGAGTTTCAAATGAGATGTTTTTATCTATATTAATTAAACAGAAAACAAGCAAGCAAAAATGAACTCACGGGATTTATAAGTACTTCTTCTATTACTCTATTCTTCTCGTTTATCTCACGCATGTATTCGCTCTACTTAAAATTATATGAAATTATATATTTGTGGTATAAAGAGCTCCTGTATACTAGCTTTTATAACACCTAAAACATCTAGTCATGTATTATTTGTATACATATATAACTAAGTTATCATTGGTGTTTATGACTATAATATATTTAAGTATGAATATGGAGCTGTTTTATGGGAAAATTCATACATGAGTTAGTTTCGGAAATTAGCGGTCTCAATACGAGAAAATAATTAAACAACAAGTGCAAGTTGAGCTGACTTAAACTTTATATCGACCACTACAATTTGACTAATACCATTTGTTTACTCTTTTGAGTTTATATTTTGTTATGTATATATATATAGTTAAAATTATAATTGATCAGCTCTCTTGGGGGTTTAGTAAAGGTTCTGGTATTGTAGTATCTTTATTCAACAAGCTAACAGCTGTTTTGATTAATTCAATTGGTTCTTTCATTACAACTTACACCAGCGTTACCTTTGAACTCTCTAGAACTAATCTTCCTTCTCTTCAACTGCGTCAATAAAATATATTTTAATTGATTTGGTAACTCTCTTGTTATATTGCTTAGATTTAAAATGCTATTATAAAGATTTTCGTGGCAGAATTATCTTCTTTATCTTCAATTGTTACTCTTCTGTATTACTCTTGTGCTTTGTCTTTTTATTTCTCTTCATCTAGTTTATTCTGAACCTATTTTCCTTTTAGGAACTTCATCTCCAGGGTTTTCATCAATCTCCATTTCATCTTATTTTTTTCTTTCATATTTTTGAAATTTTTTGGTGGTTACTCTTTTGCATTAACTGTTGTTGAAAATTTACAGTAGTTAGAGCTTCAAGAATTTAATGAACTATAGATTGTGTATAGTTTCTAATTAATCAAATAGTATTGAGTTCTAAAAATGACGATTAATTTTGAATATTGTAACTTTCAAATCTTCACAAATACCAATAATTGCCGCAAGTAATAATATTAGGAGTTGTGATAACCTCTAGTACCACAAGTGTGTCATAACGGCTGAACCAACATTAGCAATTTCAGTGTTTGATATACCAGTTAAATCAATTTCAATTTGAATTGTATTATGACCAGCAGCATCTACTATGCCTTGAGGTAGGTTCCATAAAAGATCACATTTGTTGTAAGATATTGCACATGATTGAATCCCATTTTATAATGAGATTATTCGTATGGTTCTTGATCTAATTACCTATATGTAATGATCACAATAAGACCACTTGAATTTTTCAAAGTCAAAATAAGAGACAGAGATCAACCATATCCTTTAATGGTATAACAATGTAATGGAATATTTGACTCTTATGTAGTCCAAATTAGATGCCTCAGCTAACAGAAATGCTTTAAATTAAAACAGAACAAATCAGTAAACATCAACAGCAACAAAAGTATTGTTTTCATGTTGAATGAAGTTTTTAAGTCCAGCTTGTGGTTATTAAGCAATGTTAAATCATTGACTACTTTTCAAGTAACATATCTATTTCTAAAACTGCATCAAGAGGATCTCTTTATAGCCTTTAGAAGTATTTCATTTTTAATTCTTGGTGAATTTAGCATAAATCAGAGATTAAGAAGCAGAAAATGTTCATGTCAAACTTAATAATAGTTCAATGATCATTCTTGTATCAGCATATTTTAATCTTAAACCTTTGAAACACGAACTTTTTTAACCTTTGAGCCCCAATATAAATAAAAATTGGAGAAACACATCAATTGAATAATATCCAATAGTTTTGATCTTTAACAACACATGATACAATAAGCTCCATACACCTTGAAGTCTTTTCAAAATATATGAAAGATCACAAGTACTTCAAATTGATGTTCAAATATCAAACAATTATAACATTTAAATATTTTCTACCCAGTAATCAATGTCAACTTTTATAAATTCATTATTTTAAACTCCTCTGAGTTATATATGTAAGATCGATTCTCTTTTTTAATGAAGATGTAAGACATATAATGACAACGTGAAACATCAACTGGTGTGAACAAAATCTCTCAAATGTACTTCATTAACAAATGTGTTTAACAAGCACTTCAACTTTTGCTTCAATTTGAACTAACATCCTTATATCTCTGTTTGATTGATTCAATCAGCAGTACATGAATCACAAGAATGAACTTTGTTAATAATATACCTTGCATTTGTTTTCTTTTGCTGTTGCCACCTCCATTCTGATTAAAACTAAGTTAACAAATCACACGGTACCAAATGGGCTAGCTATGTAGTTAACAAGTTAAAATTTCTATGAACTCAATTTTTATAATTGATCAAATAGTTAAAACAATTTCGGCGAGATTATGTAAAGAAGATTATGTAACAACATCTAAGTAATTATAAATAAATCATTCGACAGCCTAATTAAACTCGATAATTAGTACGTGTACAGTATATAATTGATTGTTATAAGGATATTAACTACATCTGAATAAGTCATGATATAATGTTTTCTGAGAAATTGTGTATATTTCAAACTAATGTTCACAATTCACAAGATAATCTGATAAAGACCCAATCTTGATGGTAAATATGAAATTAGAATGATTATGAATACGTAGCTCTCATTTGATCCAGCCAATGTTTAACCTTTGCATTAAAGTTTTGTAATGGATGTGAATCACATGTAGTTGTTCTTGAATACAAAACTTCAAACTTAGTGGACAATTACAATCCAATATTAGTAGACATATTCCACGTGCTAGAAGAAAATATAATTTCAAAGAATGTTTCACCTATTAAGGACGTGAAAACTCGATGGAACTCAACAAACACACGTTGCAGAGCCATGTTAGTTGTTACTATCATGATTCAATTCATAAAAATAGTTTATGTAGTTGAAATAAAATTTATCGCGTCTGAATTTTTTTCTCAAGTTCAGTACTTTAACGCGTCTTATATAAATTTTGAGATCCGGGCAATTGAATCGAAACGATATTATTATTATTTGAAGAACTTTTAGAGGTTTATATCAAATCATTAATATGGTATAGGTTTAGGACCTTATATATATATATTCTACAATACAATAGAAGTAATGTCCAGTTTTCTTGATTAAAAATGTGTATTTCAAACGATTAATCATATTCACAAGATAATCTAACTAAAGACCAAATCTTGATGGAATGTATGAACTTGTTTGATGATGTATTGGTATAACTTTTGAAACTATGATCTGGCGAGTACTTCAAACCATGGATCATGGATCAATAATATAGAGAACAAAAACAAACGTTACAAAAATTTGGAATGGAACACAGATTCGTAGAACGATTTATAGATCAAATAATTTATTATTCAAGCTCAACAAACTAATTCATGGATAGTTAAGTTAGTATTGAATAAACGGTGAAAGAGTTATTTTGAAACCACAAGCTTGGAAAATATACCTACTTACTTAAATAAGCCAAATAGAATTGCCGCTTCAGATGGAACATTTGTAGCAGATATCATCGAACAATATATAATAGTAATGTAATAGTACACGTTCAAACTTGTTCATTAATTTTTCATACGAGCGCGCGTATTCAAAAATTGATTACGTATACACTTCAATATGAATCACATCAACAATCTTGTTCTAAAGCTGTAAGACTATATCACTAGATAAGGTATAAATATTTAAATGAGCTACAAATATCAACAGATCTATATAAAAAAAACTATGATAATCTCATAATATCAACATATGACAAAACTTATTCAATTTTGATCAAGATATGAAGACTATGAGATTTGTATATTGTAGTGTATACTTGAATTATAATCCAATTCATGATTGAACCCTATAACATTTTTAATCAATTTGATCATATGTAAGGTCATTATCTGAATATTCATTAAAGCATGCACATAATATTGAACAAAATCATTCATGAAGCAATAAAAAAATATTATAATGCTAGCATATACTAACAGAAAGGACAACAATAGGTACCAAAATTATTTAGCTTTGCTGATCAAATGGATTCTGCAAAGAAGTCAAAAAGAATGGTCTGCAACAATGCCAGTGCAAACATAAACTGTGCGGAAATATTAAATGAAATGAACATAATCATCAAGCTGAAAGTAATGTAGGAACTTGAAAGTATGTTTCGCGTAACTGATAATAATAATTATAATTCGTCGACAATCCATATTAATTACCCTGTATTCCACTAAAGTATGACTATAATATGGATACTATCAATGTTAAGGATCAACATGATTATATAGTAACGCTATTACAAATTGAAATTGATTTGAGAAAATATTATGTATATTTCAAATATTTAACATACTCACAAGATAATTGGAATGATAAAACTCAATCGAATCTTGATGAAACTATGTAATGTTTAAAACTTGTACGATGATTGTTGAATTGAATATGATCAGAAGCTTCAAGTAATCATAAAGTTGATAGTCATATATATCTATGAAGTTGGCTTCATTGGACTATAGATCAAACAAACCTCATCATAAATTATAAAATTAATTGCATTAAACGTAGGGAAGGTGAAGACATTATGTTTCAACGAAAAAGATCTGAAACTCATGGAAAAAGTTAACCAAATAGTTAATTGTGGTTCTCAAAACATATGATACCGATTGAAGCAACCAACACGTGGAATGTATCTCGATATATAGTTATCAATATTATGATCGAAAGCTGATCAATAATTTATTTTACGCCGACGTTGTTAAAATTTCTGGAATTTTTAATACTTGCAGATAGTCCGTCAGACAACATAGATACATGCTACAAATCATACATTTGAAAACATTCATACCGACCATTACGTCTACAATCCATGTTACAAAATAAAGACATCTTGATCGAATATGAGGTATTGAAGGTCCACCTTACTGAAAGAACTAAAATTTATGTAGAGCTTTTCAAATTTGATTAAAAGATTGATTCACATCAACAATACTCTTATTCAAAAGTAAGGCTTCCAGAAGATAAGGTATAAATTTGTTACTTAATACGAGCTACGAATCTAAAGCAGATCTGAATGAAAAAGTATGATAATCTTATAAGTTCAACATATGACAAAACTTATTCAGTTTTGATCAAGATATGAAGCTTTATGAGATTTGTATATTGTAATGTATACTTGAATATTCTTTGATGATTGTTTTAATAATTAATCATGAATCCAATATTTGAATATTCATGAATGCATACACGCAAAACATTGATTAATAACTTGGTCAATTTAAACCAACGTATATTTTAACTGATGAATCCAATACGTGTATAAACGCTATCAAAAATCACTTCAACAATGCAATATGATTGACAAATTCTTAACTGTAAAGAAGGTTTTAAAGCTGACAAGCTGAGGATAACAGCAGGCGTTCTAACAAACACATTTGTTTAAGCCATTCAAGTTATTCTTGTCTAACGCAAAGCAAAAAAAAAAAGAATTTGTATACACTCGTACTTTAGTCGCGAATAACTAAGGAGTACAAATACATAATGATAACATAACGATGATTATAGCTATAGTTGATGATACAAAGGCTATATAATAATCCATATGTGAATGTTCTTTAAATTACAGATCTACAAATATATCCTTGGGTTTTCAAAAAATTAAATTTGACCTTGATAATCCAACATATGACAAAATAATGACATCTTGATCAAATATGAAGAATTGCAGAGGTTCATGTTATTGAAAAACTAATATACATATATAGCTTTCGATTTGATTAAAAAAGAACTTGTATATATCTTTAAAAGCTTTTCATTTTAAATTATTCAACATTAAAAACCAAACAGATAAATACGATTGTGGATTCCATGTGGTAAACAAACTTAAGATAATAATTAATATTTCCTGTAGAAAGGCGTTAATTAATATGGAAAGCAAATAACAATCAATAAAACATTTTTGAGCATTTGAATGAAGCAAATCTTTAACTTCAAAGATGACGAAGTAGCCAGCAGAGTTGCTTAATTTCTCTAAAAGTGACTAAGAAGATTAATGTTTCGTCGAGCTTTTAAATTTTCATCAAGGCCAAATTCCTTTCGCGAAGACTAACTGTTATAAATTCAATCAGAACTCATTATGAATATTTACTATGAACGTAGGGGATGCTTCTATCATAAATTGCATTTAAAAGTAACGAATAGCATCTACAGATAAAAAAATCAGTCTCTGAGTCAAAAAAATGTATATTCCAGGCCTTAAACATATCCACAAGATAATCAAAATTATGCAAAATCTCAATCGAATCTTGATGAAAGGTATGTAAAGTTTATGAAGTTTAAGCATATCAATTCAACCATTATATAGATCATAACCTTTTTAAAAATAGTCTATATGAAGTCATATTATATATAGTTTCTTGATAAATTGTAATTGCCTATCACACAACCAAGATATGGTATACAACTAAAAGACGTTCCATTAAGTCAAACAAGTAACAGAGGAAGATCTCAAAAGTTATGTTCTAACTCTTTGACTGGATTATACCTAAAAGAAGGGTAAAAATACTAAACCAATGTTTATTGCAACCTGCCTGTAGTATATAGTGTACATGAATTTCCATGGAAGAAAGAAAGAAAGATAACTCCTGAATTTTTATACTTTAATATTTAGTCGCGAATTATACTAAGGGGTAAATCCATTATACTAGTATGGATATATCAACATGACATAGCTATACTTAATGATGTATAGAGTAATCTATCATATGTAAACTATCCTTATTATAAATCTACAATTATCCTTTGTTTCCAAAATATTGAATTTGATTCACCCTAACATATGACAAGATAAGTTAACATCTTGATCAAATATGAAAGTCATGAAATCAATTTGATATGTATTGATATGATCTATTGAATTAATATCATGATCTTTGGTAATGTATAATCAATACAAATCCATAAGGCAATGTCTTCACCACCCTTCTATCAATTAACGATGCAAACGTCCTATGAAAATAACAACATATCCAAAACTCTGGTGCTAATATTCAAAGTTGACGACATTTTTGAAAATATGATCAAGTAGAACAAAGACAATGACATATGAGAATCAGTAGCAGGTTAAATGCTTTCAAGTTAATAATATTCATAATTCACAGCATGCTTAATTGCGCGTCACAAGTTGGTAGTTCTATTGGTTTATTTTTTATATGTAAAACAAAAAACTAATTTATAATTTTGATACATTAATTTTGTATATTTATACGTATTTAATTTCGATGATGATCGCCGCCGCGGCCGAATCACTAAACATTACCCTGCGCTACGTCAAACCATGTACTCATAAACCATCAATTTAAACTCATTATATAGTCAACAGACCATATTGATAAGGCTTATGTTGTATAATATAATTGATGACGATCATGATTAAGCTACGTATTTGATTTATCTGATCAAAAATATTGTATATTCAAACTTAATCAACATAATTCACAAGATAATCTTTTGACAGACCAAATCTTGATAAAAATATACGTTTAAAGTTTTGATTGATTGAATTCTTTATGAATAACTTTTGGTTTTAATCTGTTGATTAATATAAACCTCGTTGAGTTATGATCTAATCAATTCTATCAACCTATCAAGAAATCATAAGAATTCACTATTTCCAGTAGCAAACACACTCATGTTTCAACAAATGGACAGTCAATTAGCACATATCCTTAATTTTCAACGTTCTATCAAGCAAAAAGTATGGACATTAGACAACAAAAAATAAGAGTATTAATTAACTAAAAACGTAGTCAACGATATTAAAATGATCATGTTAAGAAGAGTAGAATTTTCGGGTAGTAATTTTTTTATATCATTTCTCGCGGGATCGTGAAAATCAGAATATATATAGAGGATTGAAATTTGACTAACCATCGAAATATTGATGTTTACTTACGATGATACCATTGATAAGTAATATAACAAATGATTTCTGAATAGAAGTGATAGTTATAAGCCCATTTGTCTGATTTTCTCTGATCATAAGTTTCAAACGCGTAATTATAATTCTCTACAATTATTCCAAAACACATTCAATCTTTTTCCCTTGAAAATTATAAATTTAATTTGCTTCAAAAAATATACAAAAGATATTAATTATAAAATAACATAATAATCTAACGTAGAAACAGATTAAACTCTTTTACCACGACGACCAGTAGTTTTAGTATGTTGACCTCTAACACGTAAACCCCAGAAATGACGGATACCTCTGTGAGCTCTGATTTTTTTTAATCTTTCTAAATCATCTCTTAATTTAGATTCCAATTGATTGGCTAAGACATGAGAATCTTTACCATCAACAATATCTTTTTGTCTGTTTAAGAACCAAGCTGGGATTTTATATTGAGTTGGGTTTTGTAAAATGGTAACAACTCTTTCTAATTCTTCTTGAGTTAATTCACCAGCTCTTTTTTTTAAATCAACATCAGCTTTTTTACAAACTAAATTTGAGTAACGACGACCAACACCTCTAATAGTGGTTAAAGCATATTGGATTTTAATTCTACCATCAACGTTGGTGTTTAACAAACTAGATTAAATAAGTTAGTATGTGGTTCTTTAAGTTTCAAAGGGGATAAATGTGTTTATGTGTTTGTCTTGTGTGATTTGAATGAGTTCTGAATTTGATTCATATGTTGTGTATATAGTACTATATTTCAACCTTATAGTAAAACTAAGTGAGCCCATTTGATATCTCCAAAATTGTATAAATAATATAACTCAATACTCTCATTGATAAACTGATTCTTCTGATTCTCCTGATTCTTTGATATTGATACATTATTCTTTTATTCTATTCCCATAAATCTTCTTTAAATTTGCTTTCTTCAATAACTCAACATTCAACACTCAACAGACAACAACACAATAATAACTCCCATATAGTATAATGACATACCGTAAAATGTGTTGGAAACTACCTTGTTCTTGAACAACTAAAGACATTTTGACTGATTTGGTGTTATAACTAAAACTTCAACAAGTCTTTCTTTAGAATTGTATTTGATAAAGTGTTTATAATTTTTTTTCACCAAGATGCTCAATCTTTCCCACAGTGCAACAAACTGATTCCCAACCGCTAACAAAAAAATGTGAGTTTTCGCGGAAAATTTGAATTTTCAAAGATTGGATTCGCGAACTTTGAAAGTGATTTGTGTGAGATTTTTACAAAAATGTTTGGTGGTGTATGGGTGTAGCTGATTTATAGATACTTGTGACTGTTTACTTGGTGTTAGGGTTGTATGTACTGCGATATCATGTGACTATAAACCTACACCTGACTAGGGCTCGATCTGTTATGTGATTGTTGATTTTTACAAAAATTGAGATTTCGTTCTTCAAATGTTTATTTATACCACATTGGCTCTATTTTATTCAACTATGTTTTAGTTTTTTTTGTTATTCATTCTTGACACTCTAATTTAAGCTTGAATGTTTTTGACTAAATATCATAAATATTTTGGTCTCATATTGATTGTTGTTTCACGATAATTTAGTCTATCCTAATGATTGCATAGCTTTTTTAGTTGTTATCAGCTTTTTGATTTTCAATTATATTCAGGAGTATTATAATATGCATAGTTTGAAGATTTATTAATTCTACATTTGTTAAGATTCAAGTCAAATTATGAATAATAAGATACTTCACAATATCTATAATCATCAATATCAAATTTTCCATATCAGTTTACAATTTTTGATCAAAGTTGAAAATATACTTTGTCAATTTTGTGATTAATTGATATAAGACGACATTTTCTTACAATTTATTGCTTTTATTCATAAGTGTAGGCTATACATATATATCGATATTTCATTATAATCACGAGAATATATAAAAGACAGATCTTAAGATATGATTTACTCCTTGGATACCTTGAACATATCCTTCAATCGTTTATATGTAATATTCATATTAATACCAATAGTCCAGCTACTAAACTAAAACCTAATATTCATGATCAATATATTCAAACTATGTTTACACACTTTAGTCTTTCAATTAGTCAAACATCAAAGGTTTCTCGATTAAAGTAAGCTTATCAAATAATTAATTAATATACTTATCAGAATGACAAATAACTTACATAATCAAAAAACGCAACAGCCGGGGCGGTGGGCGCGCAAGCAGCTTAATGTCGCACTTTTTCGAAAATTTATAACTTTTGATTTTTCTTATTGATCGATGTTACAACTTTTTAGCATTAATCTTAATTTTCAGATCTTTGATTATGTACAAATAGTAAAATATCAGATGTTTTATTTTTTCTGGTAGATATCTAATTATGGGACCAAAATTAGAGTTACTTCTGTTGTTTTTCAAAACTCAATATAATCTGTTTATTATAGATCTAGTCACTAAACATTAAATCAAAACTCAAAGATCAGAGGTATAATTTATATTAGTTTGGATTAGAATATAATATACAAATACTAGGGTCACAGATTGACATTTAATGATCAGGATTCGGTTGTTTTTATATCATATATTAGAACAATTATCTTGTCTTATGCTCAATATTTTGTGATTCTTTAATAATTTTTGAACTTGAATTGCATTTCTAATTGATATTATAAGCGTAGTTATAAAAAGGAGCGATATATATTTGTAAAGGAATATCATTATCTTTAAATATACTCTCTATAATTATATAAGATGATATGTTCGCCATATATATATATCATGTATAATAAGTTATAACTAAGCTTCATGTTACATAACTTATTAATAATCTACCTGAAATTTGTAAATTTTGACAAAACTTATTTTGAAATGAGGTTACAAGTTACAAGTTACAACGTTACAACTTACAACTTTTAACTTAATTCATGGATTAATTTTAAAACCACACTATTACTATAATGTATATTTTTCAAATGATATTGTACTGATTTAATTTAATTTGCATAAGGGAAAAACTTTTTATTGAAATAACCACGGCCTGAATTTTTTTATCATATGTTTAAGTGGCTTGTTGCAATACTCACAATAACATTGGACTATGTTGTTCTTTGATCTAACATTAGCATATGACTTGGAATTACTTTATACGTTCACATATCTTGTTACTAGATATTTAAGTGATATATAGTATTTGTCAAGTTATAATATATATACCAATCACAAGTTGATAAAATTGATCAAGATTCGATTGAATTAAAACAATTATCTTGTCATTTATTAAATCTTGTGATTTGATTCAGTTTTTCCAAATGAGTTATTTGTAGAGATACTTACGAATTATCTTTTTAAACTATCAATGCCCAAGCTAGCAACACGTTAATGCGTTAATAGATCTGGAAACTAAAATGAATTGCACTTGTACACTTTATACGACCCCATATCTGAGTCAGTTCGAAAAATGTTGATAAATATTATAATCAGGAACTTTTACAAGCTAGTGTATGACTTATCCACTAGAATGAAATGTAATTTAATCCAATATTTTAAACCGTACATCTACAATCAGCTATCTACGTGCTTACGTGCTTCCATACAAAATTGAGGTACGCGAAAATGCGCCAATTCAAAAGCATTTTTAAAAACAATATAATTATGGTATACAATGAACAACATTAAAAGAAAAAAACCAGCGACACCTTGAACAAATGACGTCCAATGCACCCACATTATAAGGTTCTATCAGGTTCCAATTCTCATGTTCATCCGAATTCAAAAGAATAGTGAAATCAGAAGTACCATTAGCACTAAACTTAGCGTTATTTCAACGAACAAAATTGTGTTTTATTTTGTTTGGTGTTCGAGTTTTAAAAACTGAACTAAATTGTTTTTGCTATTTCTTATTTTTATGACGTTAAAATAATTTAAGCCTATACACCATCTGGTTCAGATTTTTGATTGAAAGTATCACTGGAATTTTGAACCAATAGATCACAACGGTCAATTCAAATGTTCAAATTAATATGATAATATGGAAATCCTTGAAATCAATGAGGTTTAACAAAAAATATAAAAATTTGAACAAATATGACTAAAGTTTAACATATAAATCTTTCAAAATTCACATAACTTTCATCAAGATTTGATCCTTTTAGATTATCTTGTGAGTATGATGAAATATTGAAATATACATCTTTTCAATGAACAATCTTAGAAGAGAAATTGTAATTATACTTTGAATCAACTAGTACACAGATGCAGTCCGAGATTTACTTCGAATGATGAATCGATTCGAGTCATAAAGTACTTGTTAAATGTGCAATGTGTAATCAATGTTCCACGTTCAAGAATCTATAGTTTTTTGCGCGAAAGAAAAATTTGGACAGTTTCAAATAAAACAAGATTGCAGAAACTCCTTCAAACTTCAAGCTATATTTGATATACTGAATTCCAACATCTGTACTGCGCTATTCCAACGAGTGGGAACGTCTAATCGTGGTATCTATTGATAGATGAGGAGCATGCTCTTTGAGAAGAATCAATTGCAGATTATGATTAGATTCATAATTTAGATTCAGAAAGTTTTATCAATCCCAACAGCTATAGATCAAATTACATGAATTTTAATCAATAAGTGTTAATTACTCATTAATACACATATTCCTCATCATTATTCTCCATATTTGATCAATTTTGAAACAATTATTTTGTCATATGTTGAAATTAAATGTGAGTTTTGTTTTTAGATTATACCAGTGTTGTAGTTTATATGATACGAATCATATCTTTTTTTAAATTTAATTTCTAAACAAAAGATGAAGTTGTAGCTATATACATATAATGGTAAGATATGATCTAATTGAACTAGTTGATGTGTCGTAATCTATATAGCTGCTCTAATTTTGCGCGAAAATTTTCAGACCATATAAAATTTTACCATAATCAAAAAATAATGATCCTTTCCTTTATCAATCAAGTATTTCAACATCATAATTATGGTACTGTTCCAACGGGTATTAATGTCGAGTCTAGGAATCCCCTTTTTACCTTTTATCTCAAAACGACTGTTCTGTTCGAACAGATCCAAAAAGGTTAGATTCATGATAATTTAGATTCTGAAGGTTTCATCAATCTCAAAGGATTATAATAAATATAGTTGTACATGAATTCTAATATAAGCTGTGTTAATTTTCAATTAATACATGAATTCCTCATCATTATTCTTCATAATATTTGATCAATTTTGAAATAATTATTTTGTCATATGTTGAAAAAATGTGAGTTAATTATTTTTCAAATCAAGTCGTCAGTATACTTTGTAGTCAATGTATATCTACGAAAGTTATTTGACTATATACATCTATTTTATCTTATTTACACAAGATTCTTTACTATACATGATATCATTATAATGGGTTGTTATTTCTTTAATCTCCCCATTGTTTATAGTTCTTCACCATAAGTTTTTTGGAAAGCTTTTAATGCACTTAATTCAATAAAAATTTGTTCAGCTTTTAATAAATCTTTAACTTTAATACCTTCTTTTTGTGCAACATCAATTTTTTTTTCAAAAGTTTTTGTTGCTTCTAATAAATTTTCTCTTAATTCATTTGTAATAAATAATAATTTTTTATCATGTAATTGAAATTTTTTTAAAAACATCTTTATAGTTAAATCATCATTTGTTGGTAATTCTAATGAATCATTAATTAAAAATAATTTCCCCTTTCTATAAGCATCACTAAGGGCAATTCTTACAGCTCTTTGATAAACTTTATAATTAACTTCAGTACCATGTTGATTTGGTGCATTTCTAGCCAAGGCATAACCACCATCTTCTCTGATCGGAGAACCTCTTGAACCAACACGAGCATTACCACTACCTTTTTGAGCAGCTAATTTTCTTCTAGAATAACCCATTTGATTTCTTGATGGAGGATTTGAAGCACCAACACGAGCATTATCAGCATCATAAATAACAGCTTTCCATAATAAATCACGACGTAATGGAGTGTTTAATAATGAAGAATGAACAGGTTGGAATGTTATTGGTTTTAATGATGGGAATTCACGTAATGAACTTAAAACATAATTTGGAGTTTCTTGTGAATGATCTTTAATTATATGTGTTGGTTTTTTGTTTGGTTCTGTTGATGTAACTATTGATTCTGGACTAGCAGAAGTGGCCAATTTTGCAATTTGTTGTCTAATAGGATTGACTAATATACTTCTATTTTTCAAAAACATGTTGGGAAGCATTTAGATCTTTAGTTTATTGATCAATAGTTATTTCAGTAAAGTACCATATAATTTAATAAAATGTTGAAAAGTTGATTTTTTTATTTTTGATGAGGGTAAAATTCGCGAACACATAACCTTCGAAATAAATTTATACAACTTGGGAATTAATAAAGATAGAATTGTACAAAGGATAATTAGTCCAGTATTAATTGAATTGTTTTATTAAAGTCTATAAATCTACAGCTTCTTAATGGTGCAAAAATCAAATCAAAGTGTCAGTTCAATCCGAGAATCTAATTGTTTCAAAATTCATCAGAACATCTAACAACACTTTGATCATATATTGTAGTGCTTGGACATTAAACAATTCATTGGTATAAAGTTCAAATACCAATAGTTATTGAATATGAAATAACAAGCAATAACTATTAAGTTCATAGGAGTAGTGAACGCTAATTGTTGCACAATGAACAAACAGAAATGGTTGCTAAACAGTGGATTGTGTCACCTCAGAACACGGGCTTTTTGTTTTGGTTAACTTAGATCCTTCTTAATCATATCTGAATACATACAGTAATTTATAGAATACCAGAAGAACGCACCAAATTTATGATGGGAATATTTAATCATGTAGAAATAAATTTTTGTTAAAGAAATTGACTTTTCAAATCTTTTTATAACGTATCTACAAATTCGCGGGTCCTTTAGAAACTTCTTTGGGGTGATCTAATTCAAGCTTCATCACCATGGTTTGTTTTACCCAAGATGAAAAATCGTAAGGAACAAACGGGTATAATGGGTATCAGTTTTTAGATATATAAATTTGGATAGAGGCTCAAAGAACTTCAACATAAATTCTTCTTTACCAAAGAGAAAAGCACAACAATTCAATGGAAGATGCTCTGATATAAGGATAAGCTTTAAAACCACCAAAATCAACTGTCTGGTTTGTTAGTATTTAATCAAAGATTCAATTTAGGTCGTTTTGAGTGGAGGTTACGAAGTTTGGTACATAACACCATATAACTAGCTTAGTTAATTTGAAACAAGACAATTATAAACTAAATTTAACAAACAATAAAGAATAAAATTAAAGTGAATATATTGCAACTCAGAGAATAATGTGAACAGATTCATTGTATACAACATCATAGAAAGTGTCTTTCAAAGCCCAGTGAACCGGAACTCCTTCAATGGTATTCCCAATTATACCAAACATCAACAAACCCAGAATTAAAACCAAAATCAATTCAATTTTAATAGTGATTTAATCATTTCTAGAGTTGATGAGAATTATAAAAATGATAGTAAATCTTTAATGCCTTCTTTAATTTAAATTATGATAAATTAATCTGACTATTATAACAATAATACAGAATTAAATGATTTCATGCTTAGAATTTTAATTTTGGTTAATCAAGTTTAGGAAATTTACATAATGATAGTACAACTTGTTAGGTTCATCATGCAAAGAATCTCATGAATTTTTTGAAAATTTACAATATATGGGTATAAAAGATATTGAAGATTCTGATCAAGACCTTATCAAATTTAGTTAAAGATGTTGAAAATATCCCACTGAATGATTCAATTAATGTTCAAAATTTGACTGATGAAGATTTTAACATTGAAACTGAACCAAGAACAGAAAATGTGTGTTAAAAACTCTCATATAAAGAATTGTAATTGTACTACTAGACCAAAAAAAAACCAAATCAAGTTTAGTCAGTGCTTTAACAAATGGTCGTATTGGTGGTGATAAATCAGAACCTGAAATCAAAGAAGAAAATAATGAACTCATTTCCACAAATTCCTGAATTAAATTTAGATAAATTATTCCAGAAATTGATATTGAACAACAAGAAAATGTTCAAATTACAATGAACTTAAAATTTAATCATGGTGTAACAAATGATTTTCCATTATCAACAGATCATAATTCAAATTTTGATAATAATTATTCATCATAACATATGAAGTTTGAAAATGATGAAGATCAGGAGTCGAAATTATAAAGGAAAATAAGTTACCAGATTATGCTGGGTTATTTTCTAGCTGATGTTAATACAGATAATAAAAAACGTTCAAAATCAATATATAAGTTCAAAAGAATGGCAACTTTAACTTCATTTAATTCAAGCTCAAATAGCAACAATACTAATACTAATAATGATAATATACCCCCTATACCAGCGTTACCAGAAGGTGATATAATTCCTCAACCACCAGGATATTATCAACCACCAGTAATTAATGAATCAGCAAGAAGAGGTCGTAAACATTCATTGGCTTATGATGCAACAAAAACAATTTGTTTGTACGTATTGTTAAAGGAGGTTTAGAAGACAAGATTTTGAAGAGAAGAACATTCAAAATGTCATTTTAGAACTTTACATACAAATGATGATTCATTTAATTGTGATTTATGTGGTCAACAAGAAGTGATAATTTAACTCAACATATTAGAACTCATAATAATGAAAAGGAAGAAATTAATGATAATGAAATTGACGTTTAATCAATTGTCCTTTTTGTCCTTTCTTTGAAGGGGTTCATATTACCGTTTTTAAATTGTTGCTATGTATTGCATTGAGCACCGTCGATTTCAATATATATACACTAATTATATTCTCTATACGAATTTTCAACTTCAATCATGAGCGTAATATTCTGAGATTAAAATACTCGTTCTCTTAGAATAAATAATTTTAACATTAACGTCAATATTAATATGAAGATTGACCAGAACACGAAACAATGATTGTTTCCTAAATCCAATACCCAAAGCAACGGCATGATAAATAATGGCAACTGTAAGTAAGAATTTTTTATATGTCACTTTCAAATTATATTATCTTGAGACAACACCGCCATTATTAAATGACAGTCAGCTTGATTATCTTTTGAAGAATTGTAAGTTTAAGATCATCAGATAATGCCATTTTTGACAAAATACTCATACCAAATTTTTAAATAGTTATCCAACTTTTACCTTTTAATTAGTACTCCATCCATTTGTAATGACATAATACCATCCATAAATGTACCAATCGATAAACTAATTGAAACAATATTAACAGAAACCCCCACATGATGGGACAGTGTATCTGTAATAATACCTAAACTTTCACCACATCATGTAGTAAGAAATGAAACACAAGCTATAGAGTAAAACATTTCTGCAGCTCTAATTGTCAGTCCAAAACTTGGTCCTAAAAAAGCTGCAAATATATAACTTAAAATCATTTCAAAAGGAACTTCCACAATCATATAACTTAAAAAAAATGGTAAATATAAACTGGACCATCTTCATGATAAAAATAATTTCTTTGATCAGGATAATATGAACTTAAATTGTTTAGCATACCACAATAATAAAGGCTTGTAACTTCTTGTACAAGACCTAATCCATTTGAAACACCAATATGATTATTCTTTAATGGTGCAAAGAAAAGTGCAATAATAACACCCATACCTGCAACTTGAGTTCTTCTAGCCACAAATACTTGTTGATTTCTCAGTTTAGTTATACCTAACTGTCTAACACATGCGTAGAATGCAACTAGGAAACTTGCAGGTTGTCTTATAAAGCTTCCAAATACTTGAGGGAATTCAGATTCTGTTATAATTTTAGTATCATTTGGCATTGTTATTAAATTTGATTGAGACTTCCAATTATTTAATAATATTTCAAACCTAGCCCTTGTAT